TCCGTTCTCGCTGTTAGGTCAGAGCTCAGACCTCGAATTACAAAATTTACTACTGTTACCTTCCCATGCCACCAAACACCTCTCATCCCCTTGCCTTTCCACACACGTCAGACAGTCCCTATGCCCTCAATGATGCAATCCCATTCCACAATTTTCCTCAGGGCTCTTGTGTCTGTCTGGATATGGGGCTGCTGCTGTTAACGGGGCGGCCACAGGCTGTGGGGAGCAGGGGGAATGCAGTGGTGCAGAGAGGGGCAGATTCCCTGGCCAGTGCTGAAGTTCATCTCCCTTACACCCCTCAAGATGAAATAACCAACAGAGCCTCCAGGTTCAGGATGCACCTGCTCAAATGGACTTGTGGAGATCTCACAGCAAAATTCAGGAGCAGCAAGAAAGTGGTGTTTTGTGGATGAGGTCTGAGGCACAGTGACATCAAGCTCAGAAATCTCTTCCTCTTGCAAGTGCCTTGCTGGAAACTATTTTCCACTTCCCACAACCACCCATAGCATCCCATATTCTCAAGAACAGTTTATATCGCTGCCTGCCATGGGCATGGGGGGCATGCATGCCCACAGATCAGCCTTGAGGCTGGTGACCCAGAAAATGAAGAACATGTCACCAGGGGTAGCCTTCCAACAGTTTGTTTCCATGGCCTTGCCCAGTGCTGCCAGGAGGAGGCAGGGACTGCGGGGGCTGCAGGCAGCAGGGGCTGATGCCACCCTCCCCACATTGAGCAGGCCCCGTGCACTCAGTGAGGCAAGGACCACGCTGAAAAAATAACATGTCATCATCTAATTAAAGACTCTTCTGAAAGGTGTAGGTGCCAGGAGTTAATTAAGCCTGCAGCCTCACTCTGGCAACCTTGGCTTTCAGGTGCTTTTAATTCCTAAATCACAGTTGCAGCCATGCAGTTCCCATGTGCCTTTTCTAAGGTACCTTTCAGACACCAGGGACATCCCACACCTGGGGGGTCGTGTGGTGCCGACCCAGACCTCTGGCAATGAAGACCTCACTGGAGAGCCCGTGGGATGCTCTGCCAGAGAGGAGCTGCTAATGCTTGCTTGCAGCTCAGGATGTCATGAGTCTGAATTACTGGGAGAGTCGGGGCAACGCTGCAAGTTCCCACCAGTCTGGTCAAGTTCTGTTGCTCCTGGGGTGTGACACACTGAGACTCAAGCTGATGCTGGAGCAAGGCTTCAGACCTCAGTTTTTACCGGTGGTGAAAAGCCCTCATACTCCTGAGCAATGCAGCAGGGGTTTTGTGATAGAGAGGAAAACAATATTGGTCACCTCAGGAGGTGGCTGTGGCCGATACGTGCATGCACACCCACCTTCTCTGTTTTCCGACCTGTATGACATTACAACGGGCAATATCTTTACTTTATAAAACACCAAGGCACTTGATTGCTGAGGTAGTTAGTAACTGCTACCAGGAAAATAGGTGGGATTAATACCCAGGTGTGTGTTAAAAGCCTCTTTCGCCCAGTGATTGACCCTTGGTTATTAAAATACAGCAGCAATCAAAGCAATAAAACGTAGCCAATTGAGTTCAGATAGGACTGAAACCCCACTCCTAGCAGAACACAGCATCCTACCAGAATGATAGCTGCTAAAATTGGCTGACAGAGCATTGGAAGGTACAACAGCTGGTACATACATTAACTGAGCAGATGATGTTAATTGCGGCCGAACAGAGGGTAAAGATTTCTGATGTGCCAGGAATGCTATTTCAGGTACCGAGGTTTCTTCTTCTGGAAGTCGATTATTATTGACCAGGATAGATAAAGGAGGAAAAGATATATATTAAAAAAATAATTAAAAAAACATTAAAGGTAAGAAACCCAGCCTGACTCATAGAAAGCAGCAGGAGCTTTCAATACATTGAGGATGAATTTTAATGCTTCCTTTTACTCCATATAATAGTGAAAGAGTGGGAAGCAAAACAAGACTGTAGATACTAGATCATGAGTTATCACCATACATGCTTTTTAGCTTTCCGTACTTGGTATTTTTACTTAAGTTTGCTAAAACTGGGTTTGTGAATCACCCATCTCATTTTGATGCTCATCTCAGGGTGGCTGTCCTCAGCTGTTCAGCTTTTCAAAATCAAAGAGCATATGCTACTAAAGTTTTATTCTGTTGCAACCTGCTGAGCTTTTCTCACCAACTTCCTTCTGCTCCAAAACAAAACAGCCAGCCTTAGACATTTCCCAGCAATATGCAATTGTTCCTGTTATTGTCTGCAGGTTTATGTTCCCAATAAGGTTGTCAGCTGTGCTGATGGAATACAGTTGGAATGTGTTTTGGAGAGAGGAGAGGACAGTGCTGTGTACTATTGATGGCTCCAGCACAGTATAGGAATCCTATTTGCCTAAAGTCCATTATCGTTGCAGGGACATTAGCAACATGAAGGCAATACAGTGACACTTGCAGACGTACTTCAGCTGTCTGGGACACATGGTTTCTCCTGTGACTGAGAAACGTGGTTGACTTACAGCTTTGAGGGTAGGCAGCCCTGTTGGCACTAGCTGCAGCAGTGAGCATCTTACCCTGTCTTGTGAGGATGTCCTTTCTTGGACAAATATCCTGAGGCCACTGCCTGGCTCTATAAGATGGTACTTTTCTGGTACCATCTCTCCCTTCAAACCTGGATCAGCTGTCTCTGACCCACAGTCATCGACTCGCTTACGTCCCTGTTTCTGTGCCTGGGTGGCAAGGCACTGCTGCGACTTGTCTCACAGTATAACACTCCCTGCATTAATGACCGGCGCTGGAAGATGTCACTCCTTAGGAGAGGACTGAGACCTTGCTGTGGAGCATAACAGAGGCCAGGGACAGGAAGACCACAGCAGTTTCTGCAGCTGCGGTAGTGAGCTGAGGTCACATGTGCATAGGGCACCGGCAGGTTTCCCCATAATACATGTCCAAAAAGTACATAGTCACACAGATCAGCACAGCTCGAAGAAGACAGGGTTAAAGCTCCTGACACACCTCCTTCAAGAAAGAGTGGACACAAGGGCTCCAACATTGCCTGGCGGTACAAGAGTCTCCTGCAAGACCAGTCAGTACACTCAGTTGCTGGTGTCATTTCTGAAAGCAAAGGCTGAGCCAAAATCATGTATAAGCAGAGTCACAGTAATTATAAATCGCATGGGAAAGGGAAACAGAGGCCTCTGCTTCAGCTCACAGATTGATGACAAAATGCCATGAAGAAAATCAGCCACATATAAACCCTATTAATTGCGTTTCCCTTGGATTTGTGCCAGGAGGAAAAGAATGTATTCCTCAAAAGCGATGCAGCATCTGCAAACAATTCGTTTCCCCTGTTTGGGAGTGAACATTGTTTCATATTTCTGTCCTTGTTACTGTTAGCAAAACTTCTACCATGTGCAGAATAGAGAAAAACTAGTCTTCTCTGAATGCTTAGTTTGATTGTTGCAATGAGTCTCCATCAAGACCAAGAAGCAGCCATTTGATTTAAGTGGGGAATGCTGTCTGTCTGCCTTGGAAAGTAATGTGAAGCAAAGGGGGGAAAAGCAGAATGAATAATAACTGAGGTTTTCTGGAGTGGAAATAATATTTTGATGAAGTACACAGTGACTGCAAAGTAGGACAGCATGATTTGATGGGGATGCCTGGTTCCTGGCCCAGGGTTCACTTCTGTGTAATGGGTTTCTTTCCTGGAGACAGTTCTGCATTTTTTGAAACATCTTCCTCTAAAAAGGGGGGTCATTTTCCCTCAATCTACAGTATCCACCTCTGATCTGAGGCAAGGATTTTAAAATCTCTCTCAGAAAGAGTAGGGATTAAGAGTCCTGCTACTCTGGCTGGCTTTCCTACTCAGAGGAGCAGTTTCGTATTCAGGACTGTGATGGACATACTACTAGGGGACTATTGTGCACATACTCTGCAAACAACCAGTTTACAACTAATCACATTATATTTTGCTTTCAGATAGGATGGGTAAAAACACAGCTTACAAATCCAATTTCTGTTCTATATTTGATCCTCAGAACAGCTAATCCTCTCTATAAACTGCAAACCCTGTCCAGAATGTTATCCTGTTCTAATCTGCAGTTGGTAATTGGTTTTTTTCCCAAGAATTTAACTTTCATTTGTTTTTTTTCTTACCCTAGTAAAATTCCTAAATAAATAATGCAGAAATATTTTCAAAGCCGGTGTACTCTCAGTTTCCAGTCCAATTTCTTTTTGCTAGTCTCAGCCTGCGTTCAAGACTTTTAGCACTTGGTGATGTCTTTCATTCAGCTCAGTGAGCAATGTTCAGGCTCAGGGCTGAAATTGCAGAGCTGAAACAATCTAAAATGATAATCTTTCACTAATGAGATTGGAGGAGAGTGTGTCAGGAAAGAGTCTGGTAAAAATCAATTACGTATCTTGCGTGGTCTGTGAAAATTATTGCTGCTTCTGCAACAGCAGCTTTCACGGAGGATTTCTGAATTGCTAAGGCAGAAGGCTGATGTGAA